ATTTGCTGAAGCACACATGTTTGATAGATTATTACCTGTGGCAGAAGTTTGACTGTTCCCATTCCATTGTTTCTGCAGAAAGATTGCTGTAATCAACTTGGATCCGGCCGTGGATTAGTTGTCGTACCCTTTCAATCGGAGATTATTTGCTACATATTTTTTGTCCTGAAAGTTTGATCAGCATGAACTTTCCTTGACATTATGAGTGTGTTATCAATGTTGAGGATCTCATAAATCCAAGTGATGTGATGACAGAACACTTTTTGGGAACTAATGGGGGTGCATCTTTTCTTGGTTACTGATTGCCTTTAGTCTTCCACTGAGAAGTTGAAAAGGGATACTGAAATTCATGAGAAAAATCATTACTAATCGAGTAACTCCGGCATGTGGCATTCATGGATCTCATAAATATTCCAGTGCAGTATGTGCTCGTCCTGCAGTTTTAATATATATTTAAGAATATAGATTGGTATCTTCTACCTTTAATTTCTTGTTCTCAAAAGTTAAGCTCTGCTCTTGATTTGTTTGATAAATGCATGCTAAAGGTTTTGAGCTTTGAGCTTGTGTTTTTGGGTTTTACTTTCTCTAGTTAACAATATGAATATGCAAAAGGAACTATGCTTGCACAGATGTTCAAGATTTATACGCATTAAGTTGAATGTTCATAAAATGAAACGACTCCTTACAACCTCTCCAATGGTCCTGCAACTCGAATGAAGTCATGAGAAGTCCATTGTAACTCTTGGCAATACGCGTCAAAATTTCGGACAACTCATAGGGTAAGTCATTCAAAGATCTCTTACGAGTCATCAAAGAAGAGAAAAGATGGATAAAAATGGAAAACAATGTTAAAAGATTTATATTGAAATAAAATTGCTATAATTAGGGTGCGGGTTCTTGTAAAGTTACATATTCGTGGCACTGGCACCTTTCTTTGTTTTCTTCCATTTTGGTCACTACTTATATATGTTTTGTTTCCTTGGATTTTCATTTAATCCAATTTGATCCATATTCTGTTTTAATTTGTATAATGCCTTAATTTGAGCATTAACTTTAAAATCTTTTATTCTAATCATGTATTAACTTTAAAATCAATTTTACGCAAAAAAATAAAACTAAAATAATTTAATTGCATTTGAACCTAAGATTAGTTAGTAACCTAAGATTAGTTAGTAACCAAACAAAAACTTAACCAAGAGGCTAAATATAATATTTAGGAATCAATTAAAATATTTTTTATATATTATATATTACAGTTAATGATAGAAATAGACTAGTGATACATAAATCTAGACCAATTGAGAATATGATACACTTAAATGATTAAAAATATATATATATTATTAATTAATTTAAGTTTTTAATTTTTTTAAATTAAAGTTATTTATTTGATATTTATTAATTAATTATTATAATTTGAATCTTAAATATTTTTTCTTATGATTATAATTTGAAATAATAAATTATTTTTAATGATTTCATATCTATAATCATTAAAAAATAAATATGAAAACAAAAAATTTAGTTTAAAAAATATTAAAATCTTAAATCAATTATAAATAAACTATTATATTTATTTCAGTGATTTAAGTGTTATCAAATTCTGGCCTAGATGTAATTTCTTATTTATCCATTTTTTTTATCATTAACTATAATATATATATATATATATATATATATATATATATATATATATATATATAATTGATTCTTAAATATTAGGTTTAGTTCATTGGTTAAGGATTTCTTGATTACCAATTCATTTAGGGTTCAAATCCAATTAAATTACTATAATATTTTTGCCTAAACTTTAACAAGTTATATAACATATGTATTATCTCAATAAGAAGCGTGAGAATTAGCTTAATGGTTAAGGCATGCACATGTTACCCTTAGGATCCAAGTTGGATTTCCTTGGATGTCGAAACTAATCTTTATTTATTTTCACTTTAATTCAAAAGGTGACATGTGTCACCTTTTGATTAGATTGAAAATTTATTAAATTAATTAAATTAAAATTAAAAATCCCTCTAATTAGATTGTGACCATGTCACAACCTGATTGAAGAAATAAATTTATTAAATTAAATTGAAATTAAAGGGTTATTTGTTTACTTCAGAATGATTAAGCGTTGAATGATTCAGATGCTCTATATAAATTAGCTCTGAATGTGACATGTTGTTTGATAATAGTTCTGAATCATTCAGAATGTACTTTGATACTGAATCATTCATCAATGTTTTGCTGAATCAGTCAGCACGGGATCATTCAGAAGTGAGAAACAAACACACTGAATGCTGAATGGTTCATCATTCAGCGCTGAATGGTTCCATTCAGAGCCAAACAAACAGCCCCTAAGATTTCGAAGTAGCGACCAAAATGGAACAAAACAAAACAAGGTTCCAGCATCGCGAATACGTAACTTTACAAGGACACATTCCCTAATTATACCAATTTTGTTAACAGTCACGTAGACACTTCTGTTAAGTGTTAACGCCAAGTGGCTATATTGAAACCATTTAAATAGTTCAATGGTCAAATTTCGTGACCCAACCCATAGTTATGTGGTCATTTATGTAGTTTACCAAATAAAATATACTAACATCCCATTTATGTCTTTATAGAGTAGCTCAATAAGAAAAAATATAAAAGTCCAAGGCCCAAGTAATTGGACAAAAAAAACTTTATTCGCTTTCTAGGTGTCCCTTGCTACAACAGCGAGCCACTCCTCCCACGACTCAATAGCTAACAACTTGGATGACCCGTCAAACCAACATATTAGGCCGATGGATAGACAACATAAACTTGTGATGATTTGAGCCCAGCTTACTGAGTGTTATATTTCCTCCTCTGGATAAATGGTTATCATATATTCGGTGTATATGATGTTCCTCTAGGGATGGGCATTTAAACTCGAGCCAATGGGTTCCGACTTGATCGGGTAGGATTTTTCTAAAAAAAATTTGGGTTCGGGTCGGGTCAGATCGGGTTTTTTATGTGGTGTTCGGGTCGGGTTCGGTTTAGGGTGACATAAATCCGACCTGACCAGACCCAAAAAAAATATATAATTTTTCTATATATTTATGGATAATTACAATAATACCCCTCTATATATAATTTTTTTTTCAATTAAGTCACTGTTTTTATTGAATAAAAATATTTTTTTATTATTTCGGGTCGGGTCGTGTTTCTATGTCATATATTCGGGTCAGGTTGGGTCGGGTGAAACTTTGTTTTGGTCGGGTCGGGTCTCGGGTGGAGGCTCTCTCGTTCTCGGGTCAGGTCGGGTGGACCAAAAACCCGACCCAACCCGACCCATGTCCATCCCTATGTTGCTCTGCAGGCATAAGAGGTGGCTTCTTTTCTTGGGTAAATTACAAATTTGATAATTAAACTTTATTAATATTTATTTTATTTTTTTATTTCATTCACCTTAATTTTTTTTAATTTCCTCACTAAATTTAATATTTTGAGTGTTTTTTTTCACTTAGTCGTTTCCTTACTAACGGTGTTATGACATGGCTTTTTTGTTGTTAATAGAGGACTGACCAAAAAATTACAATGCATAAAGTTCAGTGATTAAATTGAAAATAATTAAAAGTATAGTGAGTAAAATAAAAGAGAGTAAAGTTCAATGATTAAATTTGTAATTTATCTATTAAAATAAAATAAAAAATCGCAAAATGTCGTTAGTGAAGAAACAATTGAATGATCAAAAAATTTAATGTATTAAGTTTAAATAGAAAATTAAAAAAATTTAATGTACAGTAAACGAAATATGAGAAAAAGTAAAAGTTAAATTACTAATTTTACACTTTACTATTTTTTCTTTCCGATTTCTGTGAGATCACACTCTCTCTCATATAGGCCAGTACTAGAAACATCTACAGTTGACCTTGTTGGTCAATAGTCTTTTGTCCAAATCAAAAAGGGACGAACCAGTTCTCCAAAAAAAAAAAAAAAAAGATGAACCACAAATCATCTATAATTCTCGTTCTCTATTATCTGAACAACCATGAACCGGAACCCTATTTGTTGTGCATCAACATGTTTTTTAATTTAGCTTTTTCATGAATTTTCTGAAATTATGTATGTTAATGTCAGCTTTTGCAACCCATCCTTTGGCAACATTTTGCAGTAATCTCCTTTGAATGTTCAAAAATTACACGTATACTCTTACAAATCTGTGTACCAAGATTTACACAATGACTATCGTCATTTCAAACGTGGTTACCATTCTTTCGGTCAATGGCTTATTTTCTTTTCTTCCCCTTAATTAAATCCCTCAGTAATAACACTAATTTAATGTATTGAAGTTTAAGTGATGAAAATTGTTGTTTTTTTTATTTATTTTATTTAATCATCGATATTAGATTTATTGATCAATTAATCTAGATCGAATTTTATAACGACCTCTTATGGAATAACCAATCCAATTTACAACATTTGTAAACATCGAGCTTAGAATTCCTAATCTTACTTAATAATCTAATGCCTGATCTCACAGAACCAATTGGTTTGGACTTTTACTTATTAGCATGAACCAACTTATCTCAGTAGTTAAAAGAATTGTTGTTGTTCTTAAAGGTCATGGGTTCAAGCACCAATAGCTGCAACAGGGTGATTGAGAATTCATAGTCAAATAATTAAAAATGTTTTAGAACAAATATTACTTTATAATCAGTTTAATAAAAAAATATTTACTTATTAATGATAATTATAACAATTCCACTACCATTGCATCATTCTTCGGATGACAAGTTAATAAAAATAAACATTAATCCAAGGTGGACCATTTCAATCCCTCTTTTTCAAGAAATCGTGTGTCAAACTAGGCCGAAATTCATGAGGAAACTTCTATTACTGTGAAGAATGTATTGTTTAATTCCTCAAATCATTAAATTTGACTAAGTTTGGGTCTAATCTAATCTTGTCCCACCACTCCATTTAAGTCCTTTGCCTCTCATTTTGTCTAATTCAATCAAATACTAAGTCTAAACTATCCCTAGAAGAAAAAGAAAGAAAAACTCGCTTTCAAATGTTTCAGCCTTGCATCTGCGGCGCTCTCGATCCTGAAGACGAAGGTGATCATAGAAAATTACGAAGAAACAGCTTTGGTAAGAGTAAAGGACGTAAAAAGGACGACAAGAACCCGTATTCGGATCGTGGCCTCGACAAGTTTTCTGCACTCTTGGCCGAACTCGAAGAGAAGAAGCAGAAGATTTACTCACAAACAGGCTCACAAGATGTGTCGCTGGTTCGTTTTACGTATGGAAACTCAACGGATTTCGTACCGATCGTGATAAAGCTCAAGGATGATAAAGAAGAAACGAAGAAGAAAGGTGCTGATGGTAACACTAATACCCCCACCAAAGATCATCAAGTTCTTGATTCAGATGCCATTGATAAACACCCGATCATGGAGGGGAAACGAGCAATCAAGAAGACGTCATCACGATCGCAATCGTTTTCCGATCAGAAAAAGAAAAAGAGCTCCTCGTCATGGAATTTTGAGTTGCATCAATGGAGGCGGCCTTCTTACTATGTACCGGCAATCGTAGTTTTGATTTTGTTGTTGCTGGTGTTCTTCGGGAGATCGGTTTCGATACTGTTCACCTGTATTGCATGGTACTCGGTTCCTGTAATACAAGGAAAGAGTTACAGTAAGAAGAAAGGCTATGTGAGAAAATTGAGCTACAAGAAGGTTGGAGCTGGATAAAGAAGATCATTTGATCATCCTTTGTTTTTCTCTTCTTTTCTGTGTAAACAGATGTAAATCGTTTTCTTGTTCTTCCCTTGTTTTGTGTTGCTGTGTTTTGGGGCTGGATTGAAGAATTCATCCACTCTTTTGACATGTTCAACTGTGTAAATTCTTGTACAGCAGAGCCTGGATAAACGGAAAGGATGAACTTTAGGTACTCTTTTTGACATTTTCTTTGTCATCAATTCCAAATCATTGTTTTTCAATATTGTATAATAAAACTTGTCTTGTGAAGGATAAATGGTATCTTCAAAAATCAGAGTCTTCTCCAACATTTCGAATTCCTTATTTGAAAACTCAAATGTCCATATAAAATGTAAGTATATTTTATTATTTTGAACAATTAAATTAATGTTACAATAATGAATCATAAAAAAATTTAAATTTTATCAAAAACATATTGTTTTTATATTTTATTAAAATACACCTTAAATACAATTAAGAATCATAGTTTGATTTTGAATAATTAATAAATAAAAAGAATTATATATTATTTTATCGATATATTGATATTGGAGAATACTACAAATTAAATAATACTTGATAAAATGTAAGATAAGATTTGAAAAAAAAGGAGAAAAACATGATTAAATTTAATTCAAAATTAAATGAATTGAGAAGAGAAATGAAAGAAAGGGCCAAAATAAAAGAAAACATTATGAATTGCAATAATAAATATAAAAGATTAGAGATCTAAATATAAATATAAAAAGTTAAAGACCTATATTATAAATATAAAAAAATTGAGAGCTCAGCCGGTGTTAAAGAGTATAAATTGACTTATTATACTCCTCAATATAAAGTCGAAGATAATGATATCTTGACAGTCTTCCGAGTAACTCCTCAACCCGAGTTTCGCCTGAGGAAGTAGGGGCCTCGGTAGTTGCTGAATCTTCTACTGGTAGAACAATCGTGTGGATCGATGGGCTTACCAGTCTTAATCGTTACAAAGGGCGATGCTAGCACATTGATCTCGATCCTGGGAAGACGATCAATATATATGTTATGTCGCTTACCCCTTAGACCTTTTTGAAGAATGTGTTTTTACTAACATGTTTACTTCCCAGTTGCACGGGGTGCTCCCCTGAAAGTCGTTCCTGCTCAAAATCCATGCCTTGATCTAATATTTTACCGGTTAAAGATAAATACTTATCTATATTGATTTATATATATACAACTTATATCATAAACTCTAAATTTAACGATCATTTAACATCAAGTTATCTTACTAAAATTTTAGGTGTTGAAGCTTTGAGGAGAAAAACTTACAGAAAATTGCACTGTAATTCCCATCAGAAAACATAAAGAGATTGAATTACATTTATTATTTTTATAAAAATGGGGAAAATTATGAAAATATATTTTTATAAAATGATTTACTTGAAATAAATGCACCTTAGATTTCAATTGGTATACTAAGTATAATTCTAGCAGATTACTTGCGATTAAACTTATTTAATAATAATATTTGTGTTAGGTAAGAAATTTTAGAAAATAAATATTATTTGAAGATCGGAATAGTGGTGTTTTAGTCTCTACAGATGTATCCTATTATTTTATTATAAATAAATTCTATGTGATTAGTACTACTACATGTTAACTCTGAAAATAATAATAATAATAATAATTAATTTAAAAATGAAAATATTTGAATTTTTTTTTTTGAATTTTATATTTTTTATATTTTTTTGAAATTTTTCTGAATTTAATATATAAGATGTGTCATATTATAAGTTTTTAGAATGTTACACTAATTTCTTTTTGTAGCAAAAAGAATTGAATTGGAATAATTTCTCTCTCACCTATAAGTATAGACAATAAAACGACCACGTTAATTATATTTCACATGTATGATTTATTTTATATTGATCTAGTTAAATCACTTTTCCATTTATAAGTTTTAACACTTGTGATTATGTTATTATATTTTATTTCACTCCCTTTGAAGATAAGTGTCGATATAAATATGTATTTAATATAAGTGTATTCACTAAAATCAATTAGTCTAGTGGGATGAGACACTATATCCCTTAAGCAAGGTTAGGAGTTCAAATCCTGGTGTTTACGAATGTAGCAAATTAGGTTGGGAGGGTTGCCCTCGCCTTTGCAGGACCCGATCTGGATTAGTCGATCGATCAGATACCAATGATTAATTCAAAAAAATATAAGTGTATTCAATTTTTTTAAATGATTCTTAACACATTTCAAATATTGTATATTATAACATATTTAAAATGTGAGGGATTTAAATAAAAATATTCGAAAAATGCAAATGGATCATCTAGTGATTGTGCTAATTTGGACCCTGGTTTGAACAAACAATAATTATGTGATGCCATATGCAGATTGTAATCTTAAATCTTATATTTAAAATCCTCTTTTACGTCTTCTTGCAAATTAATTATATAATAATACATTTGCACAAATTAATATCATTATTTTGACTTTTCAGCAGATTTATTTTAGGTTAACAACTACCAACGACATTGATTTAAGACTTGATTAAAAATTAATACATTATTCTAAAGTTAACAATCCATCCCTTGTCTTCATCTTTATAATTAATCAATGTGAAGAAGCGCCCAAGAATAAATGTCTAAGATTCAAACCTAATTTCACATTTTATATTTTTTTAAATAAAATAAAAATTTTGTGTTAAAATATTAAGATAGAAAGTGATCGAATGCAATAATATTAAATGTATTGATAAATTAAGAAAGGGTAGATTACAAATTTCATAATTCAACTTTACTTTCACTTCTATTTTAGCTGCTGAAATCAAATTTTCTTTTTATTAAATCACTCAACTTTCAATTTGCTGTTATTTTAGTCATTTATGGCTTATTTTATTAATTTTTTTGTTTCATACTATTAGAAAAAAATAAAATTAAAAACCTAAAATCATATCTCAGATCCAAACTCAAACTCTAAACCTCAAATCACACACTCATTACACTCATCTCTATCCTCACCCTCAACAGCCTCACCCATTTTTTGACCCTACATCACCGACAATTAGTCCTCTGTATAGCACCCTTTCATCAATTTCCATTTGATTTTGAATGGAAAAAATATGTGGTTTGAGCGAGTTAGTCGAATGAGTTCTGAGTGTTCGAGTTAAAGATGATTGACGACGATGACTCAGGTTTAAAAAAAGGAGGAATACAAAAAATCAATAAGGTATAAATGTTGTATTGAAAGCAACCTATTACTGATTATCTAAGCTATTTGCCACCATTGGACGAGAAGCATTTTCTTCGTGGCTAGTAGGCAGGGTATTTAAAATTTAAGAATATCGTGAACGAATATGCTATGAAATCAAATTCAATGTTCGCTCATAATTTGTCACGCACAATTTTTTTTTTGAAAGAGGGTACTTTGTATTAAAAAATAACAAAGTACACCACTTCAAGGACCTCATTAAAAAACCTCCCTGATCCTAAATGGAGGAAAAAAAGTATACCTTGGGATGGTAATGATCAAATACACATAAAACTCTTTACATTATTCAGACCGAACCCCCGCCCTACCACAAGCCCTAATCCGACACAAAATAAGATCACCACAAACAAACCGACAATATGAATAAAAGACTAAACAACAGAATGAAACAACAAAATCACCCATAACTTGACCAAAGGCAAACGCACTAAGAAATGGATACTCATTGCTGACCCTAATCCAATAAAAAAAAAGCCTTGAAGCTCGAACTAGAGCTTGCAGACACCCAACAACCTCTTATTTCCCACAAAAGGAACGGCACGCGAGAACCTGCATGTCAGAGCACCATCTCCGACAACCTCTTTATTTCCTAAAAACAATGCTAACCCGAGAGCTCAATCACCCAATCTTTGACTCACCGCCTTTCGAAGCTGAGAAAACGACGCCTAGACCCAATGGAAAGGAAAGACTTGAAGCTCGAACTGCAATAAAGTTATTCAATCTTTTCAAAAGAAACATAAGGCTTCGAATGCTACCAGAACTACCAGAGAAAACAACTCCCAAATTATACAAGCTGCCAATAGTCTCGAACAAGGACAGAAACATATATCTAGAAAACTAAAACTTTTGAAGCCTACCCAGCTGACCCAATACATCTCTTGCAATACGCAAAATGATAAAATCACAACACACCCAAACCATGGAAACAGCAGCACAGAATCTGCCTCCCCATTACAATACCCAACTACAAGAGCAGCAAGCGCACATCACCCAGCTCCCCAAACTGCGAAAGTTCGAACATTAGTCAGACGCACAAACAACAATGCATTACATTAATGCATCTATAAGTAACACCAAATAACATATAACAAGCCAAAGAAAACACAAGACGGCTGCAACAACAACACACATTCAAAACGTAGCAGATCACCAAAGCACAAGAAAGACACCACCCACCAAAGCAAGGGCCACTGGACAACCACAACCAACCAAACAGTAAACGGTAAAATGAATAAATCCACCAGAAACCAGCTTGGCAACCAATAATACTTGAACCACAGTAATGCAGACAAACAATTAAATTAACCTACTAATAACCTAACACTAAAAAACTAAATAATAATCTACTACAGCTACTCTTAAAGAACCATGACAAAAACCTCAAGACCAAAGCCTTAAATCTCCACAACCCCTGACAGTCACGCACCAAGCTAAAACAATTCTGGAGACGCTAAATCCTTGAGAACATCACTTTCAGAACCCATATCGTTACGAATCCAAACCTAAAGCCTACTCGACTCCTCTGGAAAGTACACACACAGAACCTCACCATAGTGACCCATAATCTGCCATAAACCTTTCCAACGAATAGTGTTTAGTAGATTATCCATAAACAAAAAAGAAATTTCGATGTAAGACCTGAAACACTCTCCCTCATACTGTATAATTTCAAATGAGCAATAGACTGGATCACTATGGCTTTTACACAAACATCTTGCATACAGTTTAAACTATCGCAATCTGACTCCAGAAACTTACTAGAAACCCACACAGTATCACAAAACTTTGAAACTAATTTCATAAGTAAGCCAAATCTCAAGCACGAAACAACAATCAATTAGAAACATGAATAAATTCAC